GCTGCGTTCTGTTTGCCGGTATCGAATTGAGACTTTTTGCATCTGTGTTCATTAGGGAGATTGGCCCCTCTTAGTGGGGTCCTTCTCTGGTTTTGGTATCAGGATAAGGCTTGCTTCCAGGAATGAATTTGGGAGTACTGCTTCCATTTTAGCCCCATTAAAGTTTGATGATGATGACCTTGTTTTTTGAGAAAGGGTCTCACTGGGGCTGGGGGTTTAGCTCAGCGGCAAAAGTGCCTGCCTGGCAAGCACAAGGTCGTGAGTTCGGTTCCCGGTACCGGAGAAAAACCAAAAAAAAAAAAAAAAAAAAGAGAAAGGGTCTCACTCTAGTTCGCTGGCTTTGGAGTGACTATGTAGCCCTGCTGGCTTTGTTTTGTTTGTTTGTTTGTTTTTGGTTTTTCTCCGGTACTGGGAACCGAACTCACGACCTTGCGCTTGCCAGGCAGGCGCTTTGCCAGGCAGGCACTTTGCCGCTGAGCTAAATCCCCAGGCCCCTCCCTGCTGGCTTTGAACTCACCATGTTCGTCCTGCCTGAGCCTTCCGAGTGCTGGGATTATAGATGTGCAGGCTCATTGAAGAGTTTGAGAAGTAGTGATACTAGGTCTTCTCTAAATTTTTGTAGAATTCAGCAGTGAATCCGTCATGGCGTGGGCTTTTCTTTGTTAGTAGGTTTTTAATTACATCTTCAATTTCATTGATTGATATTGGCTTATTTAGGAGTTTTATGTCTTCTTGCTTCAGCTTTGTAATTCATATGTGTCTAGGAACCGAGATACGGTCTTGCTAAGTTGCTGAGTTTTCCAGGCTGGGCTTAGCCTCACAGTTGTCCTGCCTGAACCTCCCATAACACTGGGGTGACAGGTGCCACCGTGCCCGCCTGCGGTGGTAGTTTGTGAACAGCCAGTGTGACGTGGAATTCAAGAAGTGGAAGTGACACAGAATTCAAGAAGTAAAAGTAACTGCCCGTCGCTGTGTGGCTTCCTTCCCGTTGGCCCTCCCAGGCTCCGTTCTCCAGCTGCCTCTGTCACCTGCTGCATCGGCACACTGCTGGTGTGCGGGTGCCCTCCTTCTGCCCTCACCCTGCAGGCCTCCTTCCTGGGCGCTGTGCCCAGACCAGCCGGCGGCGAGCGCCCCTCTGCACACCCACGCCTGATCTCTAAGGAAACATTCTCAGAAGTAGCGATCATTCTCAAAGCACAGGTGCTTTGACATTTCAAAGCAGTCGCCAAGTCCTCTTCCTCCGAGGCCCAGCCGCCTCTGCCCCTGCCCGCGTGTGGGTGGCACGGGTCTCTCCCAGGCCCCGTTAGTGTGTGTACGTGTCCCCGCGCAGGCCAGCAGGCAGCACTCTGCGAGCTTCTCTCCAGCCTGCAGCAAGGGACCAGGGGGCTGCTGGAGGGGCGGGCGCAGGAGGGACGGTGTCACGGTGCAGAGCACAGTCCCCTCGCTGGCCTTGGACCCCGCCGCTTACGGTGTCCTGGAGCTGTCCCCTGTGCTAGCGCCCCCCGGGTCCCTGTGGAAGGTGCTTGGTCTTCAGATTATTTTAACCGTGTGGCCCCGCTATCCCTCTTGTCCTTGCTGCGTCAGCTGCCCACAGTGGCCACCTTTAAAACATGCTTCTGGTAGCACGTGCTGCCACCCAGAACTCTTCACCTGGTGATGCGCTCCTTGCCACCTTCTGTGCCAGGGCAGAGCTTGAGTGGTGGGACGTGGCTTCTCGTCACCCCAGGCCCGTGGCTGCTCCACCCAGGAAGCAGTAGAGGAGGCCCGGTGTGCTGCCCGCCCTCCCAGGGTGCCCGCTGCAGGGAGGGCCAGAGGGCCAGAGTCAGCCTCCTGTGCTGAGTCCAGGTGTGGGTGGCAGGGCTGCTCCTCCCAGGGCTCCAGGAAAACCACGTCTCTGTCGTGGCTTCTAGAGACGCCCACAGCCCCTGGCTCGAGGCCCCTTCCTCCCCCTGTAGAGCCAGCAGCACGGCATCTTTGGCCTCTCACACCTGCCCAAGGGCACCCTGGGGGACACTGGGCCCCACGCAGTCAGGATGACCCCCTCTCAGGGTCCTTCACTTAGCCGATCTGCAGTTATTTTCTCCCTGGAGGTGACATGGCCACAGGCCCAAGGAGCAGGACGGAGTGTGAGATGAGCAGCACCCTCTCCTGGTGGTGGTGGTGGCTGCCCAGCAGCGGCTGTGCCAGCTCCCAGACCCACGGCTGCTGGGTCGCTCCCTGCATGGCTCCTGGGTCCGTGCTGGGGAGCTTCCGTCCCTTGAGCCAGCCCCAGGTCTGGTGTGCACAGGCGACCAAGCGATTGCAGGGGCATCCGCTCCCGTATCTGCCTTCTCCGTGCCTGTGGGTCCCTGCAGAGCCCCAGTCCCAGAGAGTCGTCCTACATCAGTGGGGGCCAGTGGGGACCTGGTCCCGCCAGCTGCTCACGACTCAGCAGCTCCATGCCCAGGAGTCGTCTCTGGCCTCCGCGAGGGGACAGCTGGCCAGCAGTGCTCTGGAGAGTGTGGCCGGCAGGAGCCCACAGCAGGTCGCACCGTTGGTGGACACTGTGCCCCAAGGTAGCTGGTCCCAGCAGCTGGACCTTGTCGCTGGTTGTCAGAGTCAGGCGCCTGGCTGCCCATGCCTCGGTGTGGCCAGTGCTGCTCCGGGAATGGTGGGGGACACGTGGAGGCCATGGGCAGGGGGCAGGGGATGCTGAAGGCGTGGTGAGGGGCCAGCTTGAAAGGAGAGAGGAGCCGAGCCGCTGCCATATCCCAGCACGGCTCTGCGGCCCCCCGCGCCATAAGCCGGGCACTGAGTGCCGCTCCACGATGACACTGGGGACTTGTGCCGGGCTGGGGGCCCAGGACGCAAGGTCTGGGGAGCAGCTGGCCCTGCCTGGAGTGGCCACCGGCTGAGGACACTTTTGTTTCCAGTACCGGGGATCGAACTCACGACCTTGCACTTGCCGGTTGGGCGCTGTGCCGCTGAGCTAAGTCCCCAGCCCCAGGCTGAGGACACTTAACAGGCGGCTTCTGGGCACAAGCTTCCTGTGTGCCCCGTTTACGAGGCCCTGTGGAGGGGACACACGGGAAAACACACGCACCCGCTAATGGGACCACTGGCTGCCAGCCACTGTCCCTCAGGGACTTGTCCCATTGTCTCTGCCCTGGTGTGACCCAGCGCCCCGGAGTAGGGGAGGAGAGGAGGTTGCCGAGGGCACACAGGTGACATGGCACCCGGTTCACACCACCAGGTTCACACTGGCCCAGGGCGGGTGAGAGTAGGAGTTAAGCAGGTCTGCCTCAGGGCCGCCAAGGTGACAAAAGGGAGTGCGGCGCGGTCGCTGCCTCGTGATGCTGAGCGAGGGCCTATATGTTCAGTGCATTCTAGGCAAGCGCTGTCCCGGTGAGCCACGTCCCAGCCCCTCGGGTGTCTGCGTCTGTCTCTGCCTGCGTGTCTCTCTGTCTCTGTCTCTCTCTGTCTATGCCCGTGTCTCTCTCTGGTACAGAATATTTAACCCGGGTCCCTGAGCCACACCCCAGACCCTTTGTATATTTTCTGAAACAGGGCCTTGCTGAGTTTCCCAAGCTAGGATGGAATTTGTGATGCCCTGCCTCAGCCTCTTGGAACGCAGGGATGGCGTGCATGTGTCACCACAGCTGCCTCCGGGGTCATGTTTAAAAGGCAGAGGAGAGTTTCTCCATTCCAGTGCCTGTTGCTGTGAAGCTGCAATACAGGGAGGGCTCCTGCGAGCGGAGCCCTGCACTGTGTCCTCCTGTGCCTGGCGTCAGCGTGGTGTCCTCAGGGCCATCTGCGCAGTGGCGAGTGTCAGAGCCTTGCTCTTCCTGGCTGGGTGATGTCCCTGTGTGTGTGTGCGCCGTGCGTGTGCGCCCGTCACTCAGTGAGTGGCCATCGTGCTGCTGTCATGTGTGGGCTTTTGTCTCAGCTCCCCTGGTGTCTTGTCTGGGGCGGGGCTGCCAGGACACGTGGGAACCTCGCCTGGCTATTCGAGGAACCAGTGCCAAGTGGATCACTGGGGCCAGAGAGAGTGTGAGGTTGGTGTTTTGATGGCGCACAGCCATGTGTCAATAAAACTTTATTTAAAAAGCAGGCGGGCTGGGCATGGTGGCACATGCCTGTAATCCTAGCACTCGGGAGGCTGAGGCAGGAGGATCACTGTGATTTCAAGACCAGCCTGGGCTACAAAGTGAGCTCAAGGCCAGCCTGAACTGCATGGTGAGACCCTGTCTCAAAAAGACAAAAAAATACCCCCAAAATAAAAAGCAGGCAGTCTGGATTTGCTCTCAGGACACATGGAACCCTCTAACCCAGTGGGTGCTAGTCATGGGAACTTGATCTGCCACCTCCTGTCCCCTCCCTTCGCCTGCGAGCCTCTTCGAGCCTCTGGCTGCCTGTCACTATCATATATCGTGGGTGACTCTGAGCCCTCAGGGCTCCTGAATGTGACAGTTGTGGCTGGAACAGATGCAGGTGTGCAGTTGCCACCGGAGGCTGGTGTCCCAAGCCACCGCTGCTCTGGCTTGGCCTGGACTGCGCTTGCCTGTCCGTGCCTGTTCATACTCTGGACTTAAATGAAGTTCCCTGCACACACGTGCTGCACACACTTGCACATGTGTATAGCAGGGACTTGTGAGTCCTGTGTAGGACGGCAGGATGCAGCGTCCTCATGGGGACCTCCCTTGCTCTGTGCCAGCTCCCTGCCTGCCCCCGGAGCCTGCGGGCAGAGACCCCCTTCCCAGCAGCTGGGTCCCCAGGGACAGGACAGGTGCCCAGTGTTGTAGCAGCTTGGAGGGTGTGCGGGCTGCAGGAGGGAGCTGGGGCACGGTCCGGGGTCGCAGGAGTGCAGGCTTCCACGGAGGGGCCAGAAAGGACCCTAGTTGCGCCCTGCTGTGTTACTCTGGCCTGGAGCCCAGGCTGTCCAGCAGGAGCCTTGGGCCCCAAGCACCTACTTGTTGGTTGCTGCTGGCCGTGGGCACTGACCTCCCGCCCTCCCGCCTCAGGTTGAGCTCGGCTGGTGGGCCCCGCCCCGCCCCGCCCTGCCCCACCCCGCCCCGCCATGGACCAGGACTACGAGCGCCGGCTGCTGCGGCAAATTGTCATCCAGAATGAGAACACCATGCCGTGCGTGAGTACTCGGGGCTGTGGCAGCAGTGGCCTGGAAGCTTGTCCTTCCCAAGCTCCCCATGGTGGCTGCTGGCGAGTCGTGTGCCGTGTCCCTGCAGCGACTCCACCTCCCGGGCGGGGAAGGGGCACCTGCCCTTCGCCCACAGCCACGTGGCAGCACGGGCAGGGGACTGACGGCAGCAGCAGGAGGCCTTCAGGGACCTGTACTACCTCCTCTGCCTCAGGATGTGGGGCCTGGGGGGGCCCACTCTTCCTTGCCTCATCCCCCCTCACCCTGTCGGTTCCCCAGGCGCCCTGGCCGGGTCTCTGTGCTGGTGGCACCTGGTGCCTGGTGGTCCCGTCTCCAACCCACCGTGCCGCGGGCCCATGTGGGCTTGAGCAGGCTTCCACCGCACGGCGCAGGTCGGGGCAGTGTCGGCTCTGTGCAGCGACGCGGTGGCCACCTGTGTCTGACACAGGCTCCCGGCTGGGCTGGCTGGGGCAGTCCTCACTGGCAGAGGGCTTACAGGAGCGGAGGTTGTCAGGTTCGGGGTCCTGTCCCTGAGACCAGGCACTGCCGGGCTGCTGAAGGGGAGCGGGTGCCGGTGGCTCTGTGTGGCTCCTTCTGTAGTGACCTGGGCCAGGCAGCACCTCCTGGGCCCAGTCCGGGGACGGCAGTGAGTGTGGGCCTGCGGGGCCGTGGAGCTGCCAGAGGAGAGCAGAGTCCACGCTGACTGATGCGGGACAGGGCTTTCCACAGGCGGATTGGGGGCCACCGCACCCCAGCAGCAGGAAGGAGCGGCTGCCTCCAGCTGGGCAGGAGGGCAGGGGCGCCGCTGAGCCCCAGGGACAGTGAGCAGGGGGTGCTGGCCACGGCCACCAGGCATCCGTTGGCACGGCAGCTTTGCCAGCCTTTGCTCCTGGGAATCCCTGCGCGTGCAAGGGTGCAGCTAGGTGGCGAAGGACCTCGGGAGTTTGATGAGGAAGGGGACGCCGCGTTGTCCTTGGTCACAGAGACGGAGGAGCCGTGGGGCGCCTTGTTGCCGGGAGCCCACAGACCCCATTGGGTCACGGGGCACCGCCCTTCGGCAGTGGCAGAGCCCGGGTTAGGATAAGATGTGACAGCTGACACCGCAGGACCCCATGTGACCCTAGGACAGAGATGGGCTCATTTCCTGTGGTCTGTCTTGAAAGCGCGTGGATTGGGGGTAGCCGGGTCTGCAGGGCCTTGACCCCCACTCCACACCAAGGTGCAGTAGGCCCTTGTGCTCTCAGCTTCCAGGGGTGGCAGTCCTTGGCATCCCTTGGCTTGCGGCTGTGTCCCTCCTGACTCACCCGAGGGGTTTTAGTTCATCCACACTGGCCATTTCCGAGCAAGGTCCCCTTCCCGGGGTCAGGGACGCGGTGTGTCCTTACAAGGGACACACAGCACACCGCAGATCCCTGAGGAAGTAGGACGTGGTCAGGACAAGCAGACGATGGCCCAGGCTTCGTGGGAGCCACTGACTGCCTGTCGTGTCCCTGGCGCCCCGGCCTAGGTCCGTCTGCTTCGCCACTTGGGTAGCAAGGTGGGCTGCGTGTCTGAGGGTCTTTCTGTGTTGGGAACGCGTGATGGAGCCGCGGACTCCCGGGCTGTTCCAGGATAAATGCTCTGCGCCCTGTACTTCGGGTGCTCTGGGCTCGGGTGGGTTAGAAACAAGCCGCAGTGCCTGCTGCCCTGACCTCCTGTCCCACCTCCCCTCCCCTCCCCTCCCCTCCGTCCTGGCCCCGCCTGGGGTCCCCATCTGTCCCCTAGGCTGCAGACCGGCCCTGTTGGGTGGGGGGCCCTGGGGTGGGGCTCCGGGCTGACAGGCCGCCCTGCTGCACACAGGTTGCGGAGATGCGGCGGACCCTGACGCCAGCCAACTCCCCGGTGTCCTCGCCCAGCAAGCACGGCGACCGCTTCATCCCCTCGCGGGCCGGCGCCAACTGGAGTGTGAACTTCCACCGCATCAATGTGAGGGGCGGGCCGGGCGGGGCGGAACTGGGACCTCAGGGGTGGTGGCCGTCACCCCTGCCTGCCCCCTCCTCCTGCAGGAGAACGAGAAGTCACCCAGCCAGAACCGCAAAGCCAAGGATGCCACCTCGGACAATGGCAAAGGTGGGTGAGCGCTGTCCACTGGCTCCAAGTCCCGCCCACTGGCTCCAGGCCCCGCCCCATCAAGCCACACCCACAAGTGCAGTTTGCCCTCAGGCCCCGCCCACAGCCACGCCCGTGCCTGGTGCCGTCCCATCCCGTCCCGTCCCACCCTGCCCGCCTCACCTCAGAAGCCTTGCCCCGCAGACGGCCTGGCCTACTCAGCGCTGCTGAAGAACGAGCTGCTGGGCGCCGGCATCGAGAAGGTGCAGGACCCGCAGACGGAGGACCGGAGGCTGCAGCCCTCCACGCCCGAGAAGAAGGGCCTCTTCACGGTGAGCCCGCGCCCCAGGCCTGAGCGGGGTCCCGAGTGTCAGAGGGCAGGGCTGGCCACCATCCCGTGCACGTGCTGGGGTGACGGGGGCCTGTGGTGGGCACCTGGGAGGACAGACCAAGCCGTGCTGCCCCGTGGTCGGAGCCTGCGGTGTAGTCGCACGGGAGGGCGAGCTTGGGAGACCCTCAGCTGCTGCCCCTGCTCGGGCCTTCGCGCTCGTGCTTGGGAGGGCTGGGGTCCCCCACCCCGGCGTGCAGCTCCCGCTCAGCGGGTGTCCCCTTCCCCAGTACTCCCTCAGCACCAAGCGTGCCAGCCCTGACGACGGCAATGACGTGTCCCCATACTCCTTGTCCCCTGTCAGCAACAAGAGGTGAGTCAGGACTCGGGTGGGCGTGGCTGTGTCCTCTGGGTGCCAAGGAGGGGGGCAGCGGCCACCAGGCACAGAGGTGTCCGCAGAGCCGCTGTCGATCGCGTGCGGGCGGGGAGGGCGGCACGGTGGCCGGGCCCCCGCGCCCCTCACTGTCGGCTCTGCAGCCAGAAGCTGCTGCGGTCCCCGAGGAAGCCCACACGAAAGATCTCCAAGATCCCCTTCAAGGTCCTGGACGCGCCCGAGCTGCAGGACGACTTCTACCTCAACCTGGTGGACTGGTCGTCCCTCAACGTGCTCAGCGTGGGGCTGGGGACCTGCGTGTACCTGTGGAGCGCGTGCACCAGCCAGGTGAGTGCCCCGGAGACAGGCGCAAAGCCTTGCGCTGCCTGGTCCCTGCCGGGGCGCACAGCTCTGCAGGCCTGGGGGTCAGACAGGACCAGTATGAGCTGGGGGTGGGGGGCCGGGACACTGGCTTGGAGGGACCAGCAGGCGGCGTGTTGCTTCACTCTGACCTGTTGTCCCCAGGTGACCCGGCTCTGTGACCTCTCTGTGGAGGGAGACTCGGTGACCTCTGTGGGCTGGTCTGAGCGGGTAAGAGCAAGGGGCTTGTGTCCCCAGGAGCCCAGCTGTGGGCGTTGTTAGAGTGACAGGGACACATGGGGTCTTGGATTCCTCTAGGGGCCATCCTTCTAGACCCAGGCAGCATCAGCAGCTCGGGGCAGTGACCCCCAGGACTGCTCAGGTCTCCCTGCTACCAGAACGGGGAGGAGCGGACCCTGGCCTTGGGATGTGACCCAGGCTACTGTGGCGTCAGCTCCCTTGGGGCCTCTGCTCATATTCAAGGGCAGGTGGCTTAAGCGCTCCCCATAGAGCCGCATTCCCTGGGCGGTGGGTTTGGACACCCATTCCTGCGAGCCTGGAGCTCGCTTGTCACCCTAGGAGGGGCATCCACTCCCTACGTGGGGCTGCACTGGCGAGTGTGGGGAGATTCTGCCGAGTCCCTGGCGTGGGACAGCCTGGGTGGCCAAGTCCAGCCGCCTGGGGTCCCCATGCTGTGGCCTGACCTCCTGACACCTGCTGTCCCCCAGGGCAACCTGGTTGCAGTGGGCACACACAAGGGCTTTGTGCAGATCTGGGACGCGGCAGCGGGGAAGAAGCTGTCGGTGCTGGAGGGCCACACGGCCCGCGTCGGTGAGTGCCCCGGGCCGCCTGCCTCTCCGCGCCCTTGCGTGGCCGCAGCCCTGCTGGGCCAGCCTCACCCACCTCTGCCCTGCAGGGGCGCTGGCCTGGAATGCCGACCAGCTCTCGTCTGGCAGCCGCGACCGCATGATCCTGCAGAGGGACATCCGCACGCCACCCCTGCAGGCAGAGCGGCGGCTGCAGGGCCACCGGCAGGAGGTGTGCGGGCTCAAGTGGTCCACGGACCACCAGCTCCTCGCCTCGGGGGGCAACGACAACAAGGTAGGGCCGGTCCCACCCAGGTGGCAGCGACAGCGCGGGACCTTGGCAGAGGGTCAGGCCCGGCTCTGCCCAAGGCTGCCTGCCGCCTGGGACTGCAGGGTGTTCAGGGCATGCCCCGGGGTGCCTGTGGAGACAAGGCGGCCCGCCTCACGGCCACTGTCCCCCAGCTGCTGGTGTGGAACCACTCAAGCCTCAGCCCCGTGCAGCAGTACACGGAGCACCTGGCAGCCGTCAAGGCCATCGCCTGGTCCCCACACCAGCACGGGCTGCTGGCGTCGGGCGGCGGCACAGCCGACCGCTGCATCCGCTTCTGGAACACACTCACGGGGCAGCCGCTGCAGTGCATCGACACGGGCTCACAAGTGTGCAATCTGGCGTGGTCCAAGCACGCCAACGAGCTGGTGAGCCGCATTCCCCGTCCCGGCCCCTGGCCCCAGGGCTCTGGGCACTCACACGGGTGGGCACCGGTGGGGGTGTCGCAGCCCCTCACCCCACCCACGGCCTCCCCGCCCGCCAGGTGAGCACCCACGGCTACTCGCAGAACCAGATCCTCGTGTGGAAGTACCCCTCCCTCACGCAGGTGGCCAAGCTCACCGGCCACTCCTACCGCGTCCTCTACCTGGTGAGTGCCTGGCTCATCTCTGCTGGCCCAGTGACAGCGCGGTGGGTCGCTGTGTCCCCACAGGGAGGTGCCTGCCTTGCTGCCGTGTCCCTACCTGGTGACACGCTTTTATTTCATGTAAAAACCCTTGAGGAGAGCTGGACGTGGTGGCACACAGCTGTAATCCCAGCGCTTGGGAGCTGAGGCAGGAGGATCGCCAGGGCTACATAGTGCGTGCAAGGCCAGCCCAAACTGTATGGCGAGACCCTGTCTCAAAAAATGAATGCTCAGAGGAAGAGAGCCGAAGCGAGCCGTGTTGAGCCCCTGCGTGGCCACAGTGCAGGCCGACAGGGAGCCCTGGCGTCCTCTCAGCATGTCCTCGCTCTGCAGTTTTTCTTTCAAGCACCAGACATGTCAAGCGGGGCTGAGTGCGGCTCCGCAGGGAGCTTCAGGGCATGTGCCCGGGCCTGGGCCCAGCGCCACGAGAGGAAGCATTACACTGACCCTCGGCACACCCGCTGTGCCCCGCCGCAGGGTGGCCTTGTGTCCTCCGCTCCTGCACGTGTGGCGCTGGTCCCGGCCCCGGCCTCCCTCACAGCTCGGCCCCGGCTGCCAGCGAGCAGGGCCCCCCTTGGGCTCCGGTCCTGTCCCTGGCACCGCCTGCAGAGGCCTGTGGACATCAAGGACCTTCTGTCCTCTCCACAGGCAATGTCCCCTGACGGGGAGGCCATTGTCACCGGTGCCGGAGACGAAACCCTGAGGTTCTGGAATGTCTTTAGCAAAACCCGCTCGACAAAGGTAAAGTGGGTCGGTATCACAGCGCCAGCCGCCCCACCCTGCTCCCCACTCCGTCCTCTCCCACCCGCCCCCCCCACTGCGTCGTCTTACATCCTAGTCACATGCCAGGACCCCTTGGGGACTCAGGCCTGGTGAGGCCCCCCGCCCCCACCCGGGACCTGCCCTCAGCCTGTTTCCCTCCAGCGTGTATCCTGGTCCCCTGGTCCCCCGGCTCACGCAGCCCCTGTCCCTTGTTCCCTGTCCAGGAGTCCGTGTCGGTGCTCAACCTCTTCACCCGGATCCGGTAGACCCATGGGGCGGCTGTGCCACCTCGTCCCCAGGCGGAGACCCCACTCCTCAGCCTGCATGGACCCGTGCCCCCGCCGCCCCCCTCCGTCCCTGGAGGCGGTGGGTGAGCAGGCGCTGGGCCGGAGACCGCAAGTCTCATTAAACGCCTGATTGTGAGCCATGTCCACCAGTATTTGGGTGGGACGCAGGACCCTCAGGATGACTCCGGCTCCGGCTCCCCTCCTGTGGCCCAAGGCCCAGCCCAGACTGCAGTGCCGGAGCAGGCGGGTGCCGGACCCTCGTGTCTGCCCGCTCGCTGGGGGCTGCATGCTCTACCGGAAGCTCCTGTCCACCCTGCCGACACCGACAGACAGCTGCTTGAGCTGGGGACACCGTGGGGGCCGGCGTGTCCTGCCCAAGAACGTCTCCAAGTGAACTCGTCACCGCGGGACGGGGAGTGGCATCCGCCACCTGTGTCTGCCCCAGCGCGTCCCCATCCCCTCACCACGAGACCGTGTTCCCCACCGGGCGAGGGCTGCCGTTGGGCCGTGTGGGCAGCCGGTGACCTGTGGTGGCTCATCATCCCCCAGCTCCTGCCTGTCCCCACCCTCCACACTGCGCACTTCGGGAAGCCAGGAGGGACAGAGGGGGCAGCCTGAGCTCCCACCCTTGTCCTGGCCCTGTCCCCAGCAGCAGGAGGGCCGTGGCGGGGCTGACGGGAGCGGCGCCCCCGCTGACAGCCTCGGCCCGCGGCTGCCGTGCGTGCATGTGTATATACGTATCTGTGACTCTTCAGACCCGTGTATTTTGTTGGCCTGTCCCAGAAATGTCGAACCCCAGCCCCTGCCCCAGAGACAGTCATGGGGGTGACGCACTGCCCCGGGGACAGTCGTCTCCATGTCCCTGCTGCCCGCTGCTGCGTGGACATTGAAGCGTGTTTCCACTGGTCACCATCTTGGTTTTGAGTTCGTTTTTGTAAATAAGAAAAAGCCCTGTGCGTCACCCCAACCCCACGCAGATGCCAGCGAGCCCAGAGCTGCCTGTGCTGCCAGCACCCTGTGGCCTGGGGAGGGGGCCCACCTGCCCGCTCGGGCGGCACAGGCAGGGAGGAGCCAGCCCAGGGCACAACGGCCTTCTTTCTTGTGGGATGCAGTGTCGCTGTCACCAAGCCCTGGACTCCCACAGGAAGGTGGCCGGCTGCCAGGGTCCACTCCGGAGCCGCAGCAGCCCTTTCCTGGGCGGCCCACGCAGAGGGAAAGCCCCACAGCCAGCTGGGGGGGTACCAAGAACAGGCACCAGGCACCTGTCCTCAGGCCCGGCGCTCAATCTGCTGCCACCACCGAGGGGCTGGGAGGGGACAGGACAGGAGGGCGGGCGGCTGGTCCTGGACTGGGGCTGGCTAGAGGGAGCACAGGTCCTAGCAGAGACAGGCGGCCCTGGCTGCTGCTGGGGCACAGGATGTGAGGGCTGGGGGGCCCCAGGAAACTGCGCCAGGCCTGGGCTGCTGCACTGCCTGAGGGGGTTGAGGCCGGCGAAGGTGGGGTGCCTGGGGCAGGATGTCTGGGTCCCTGCTTGGAAGAGGACAGAAAGGGGTTGGGCGGATGCAGGCTGCGGGCAGGAGGGGCAGTGCGGGAGCCAGGAGGTTGGGGGTGGGGCTTGGGTCCGGGGGGAGCAGCACTGGGGACCTGTAGGGCCAGGTGGGAGCAGCGAGGCTCGGGCCATGGGGCCTGGGAGGGGCCTGGCTGCCCAGGGTACGGGGAGGGTCTTGATCCCAGAGGACACGGGTGCAGCAGGTGGCCATGCAAAGGCCCTAGGGCAGGACAGCCCAGTAGTGCAGCCGTGGTAAGGAGGCCAAGTGTGTGGAGCTGGGGGAGGAGGGCGGGGAGGAGAGCAGGGGAGGAGCCTGGCTGCGGCAGGGCAGCGCCGGCTGTGTGCAGGCTGGATGGGGCAGGTGGGACAGAGACCAGGGACAGAGACGTGACCCTGACCGGGGCCTGGAGGAAGTGGCAAAGGACAAGCAGATTTGGGGCACTGATTGGGTTTGGCTTTGCTTACATTTTTTGTGGTGAAATAAACACACAACACGGCCATGCAATGAACCAGCCCGCGCAGTCGTCACTGTTGCAAGGAAGTGCAAGGGTTCCGTCGCCCCAGGAGAGCCCCCACCTCCTGTCTCTGGAGCCATCTGTCCCAGGCATTTCCGGTGCAGGGAGCTCACACTGTCCCGTGTGCCAGCTCACTGAGACGGTGTCCCCAAGGTCCTTCCACGCTGGTGCAACAGCTGCACTCCCGTCCTGGCTGAGTAGTATTCCAGTGTGGGGACCCCGCATGCATCCTGCCTCCCCGGCTGTGCGCGCTCGCAGACCGCCTTGCCCCCCCACATCCTGGAAACGGAGGTGCAGACTGGACAGCGTGAGGAGCGCATGGGGACTGCAGGGCCCTGGCCCAGGGCCTCCCGAGGGGTGGGGAGGGTGAGGCTAGGGACATTCAGGGGCCTGTGCGGGGCGCAGCCTTAGTAGCTCTGACCCTGCCACCCTCACAGGTCACAGCCGCCAGCTATGGGACTTGGGAGCGGCTCGCTGCCCCGCCCCCGCCCAAGCCAACACTGTTGCCAGGACACCAGGGTGGTGGCCTTTGCCGATGTCAACAATAGCCCCAGAGGCCTCCAGGCAGCGCTTCCGGGGACACACAGGCAGCCATGCAGGCCCCTCGGAGGGAGGCTGCCCGGACCTACGTCCCCTCGGGCACCCTGGAAGTGGACTTCCCCACCCCGCTATACAGGTGACCCCGTCTCTCACTTCTGGGGACCCCGAGTCTCAGCCGTGAGGGGATGTGTCTGTCGTGTCCTGCTGTGTGGTGGCCCCTTCTCCCTCCCCGCTACCTGGTCTCCTCCAGATTCTTGTCCCCCTGCAGTGCAGCTTGGCGGCCTTGGGGCTGGCAGCGTGGGACACAGGCTCGACCCTTTTGGGGCCAGGGGCCTCGAACGCACACAGCAAATTAAACACCCGCTGGAGCTCAGCCCGGGCAGCGCAGCAGGACCCTGGCTCCAAACAGAAAACCCAAAGGCTGGCGTTCCATCCCCGGCACCTCAACAAAAAGCACAATATGGGGTTCTTCTCCAGCTGCATCTCTCCACCCCACCCCCTAGTATGGCAGCTCTGGTCTTTCCCAGTCCTTCCCCTGTGTATACACTGTCCTGGGCCTTCGCACATGCTGCCTGCGCTGCCTCAGGAGAGCCCTCCCGGCTCCCAGCCTGAGAAGCCTTCCGCCTCTGAGGCCTCCCAGCCCAGCGCACCGGGCAGGCACACCACTTCACATCTGATCGCGGACCTTTTTGTCCTCCTGGGCCACCTGCCCAACCCCAACCCTCCTGTGCCCCAAGCTGAGTCACGTCCTCTTGCTATGCCTCCAGGTCAGGAAGTTTCTGGGATCTGCAGATCTGGGGAAAGAGACAGGGACTTTTGTTTTTTGCAGTACTGGGGTTGACCCCAGGGCCTTCACACTATGTTCCATCCTCAGCCCTTTTTTGAGATGGTCTCACTAAGTCACAGGGTTGCCCAGGCTGGATGTGAACTCGTGATCCTCCTGCCTCAGCCTCCCAGAGTTCTGGGATAATAGGCATGGGACTTTCAAATGTATCTAGGAGTGGCCACCACCTCGTCTTCTCCCCTCCCTCCTGATGTCTTGATCTTGGGCAGAAAGCGTTTAAAGGCAAAAGGTTCCTGAGGATCAGGGGTGCTGGGCAGAGGGGGCATGTGCACAGGGAACCCAGGGGCACCCCAAGCCCAAGGCTCAGGGACAAGTAGAGTCACAGAATGGCCCCACACTGTGCGACAGGCTTCCCATGGGGACCAACGTGCCCATTCTTGAGACCAGCAAGCTGAGGCCAGGAGGTGTGGGGACGGCTGCCTTGAGCCCCTGTCCCTGGCCCCTAGTGATGACTATCTGTCCCTGGAGGGTCCCCGCTGGGCACCGGCCATCAAGCAGGCGACACGCTGGAAGTACACGCCCATGGGGCGCGATGCAGCTGGCCAGGTATGGTACACAGGCCTGAGCACCCTGGACGGCCACCACCGTAAGGCCCACGCCCGCTGGCAGGGATGCCACGGCCACCGAGAGCACAGCCTGCCCCCCGGTGAGTGCACTGCCCACCTGGCCCCAGTGAGCCCGGGGAAGGGCGCGGCCACCAAGCCAGTCCTCCCGCCCCACAGCATACGCCCAGCACCTGCGGGAAACAGCCTGGAATGACCCCACCGTCCCCGCCCAGTACCTGAGCCCGGGCACCCGGTGGGGGAGCATGCTGTGGAAAGACAGGCCCAGCCGGGGCAAGGAGTTCGGTGAGGACGCTGACGGGGACGGGGCTGGGGCATGCGGGCAGCAAGTGCGCCCCAGAAGTTGGGGGGAACGGAGCCCTCGGCTAGCAGGGCAAGGACGCGGATGGACGCATGGTGACCAGGTCCTTGCCCGCAGTGGTCAACAGGAACCAGACCGGGACGGAGCGGCCCTGGCAGGTGTCCGACTATGTGCCCGGCCTGTCCCAGCTGCAGCGCCCGCGCTACGCCACCCAGAGCATCCGGCACTGGGACCTGGAGCCCTACTGTCCCTCTACCGCCCGCCGGTCCCTGCCGGGCCACACCCCCAGCTTCTTATAAAGCGCATGCTGCCCACACCGCCCCCGCCTCTGTCGCACTGTCCCTGCCGGGCACCTGACCCCCTCTTCCCTCCAGCTCCCGCCCAGGGCTGTCCTGATCTGGGGCAGCATGGTCACTCAGTGGTCAGGCACCAAGGGAGTCGCAGATCGCCACAACCCGAGACAGCCGATGCCACGCAGACGGTGGCTGTCGCTCCCCGGCCCCCACCCCGGCCCCAGGGACACGGCAGTCGAGCGTGGTCCCCACCCAGTGGGCGCCTCTTTATTTACTCACAGTGGGGACCTCAGAGTCCCGGGCAGCCCTGCTGCCCCGTGGCTGGGGCACAGCCCCACAGCTGTGACTCCTGGCAGGGTCACAGACAGGGCCGCTCAGGGGCCTTGCCCCCCACGGGGCCCCCGCTCCCTGCCCTGCCGCAGACAGGCGCCCATCCCACCCAGACGGCAGCACCAGAGCCGGGGCCAGCAGGACTGCCCCAGCCCCAGCACCAGGCTCCAGGGCGCCTGGTCCCTCCTCCGTCTGCACAGCTGCGGAGCCCGCAGGTCACGGCCGGTCTCCTAAGAAGGACGGTTCGGTGGCTCAGGGAGGACTCCCAGCCGCCCACCCGTGGCCGCTCTGTCCTCGTGTCTGGGGAGGGGCCCGCGACTCACGGTCCTGGTTCCGAAGGCGAAGGCGGATGGGCCAGATGAGCAGGCTGCAGAGCGCCAGGGTGGCAGCCACACCCACGCCGCCTGTCACAGCCACCATGACCCAGTGGTAGAAGCCCATGCAGGCCTTGCAGCACAGCTCTGAGCTGGGAACCAAGGGACAGGGGTGAGCGACCTCCCCGCCTACACACACACACAGCCGCCCCCCTGGTCTGCAGGCTCACCCTGCCTTCTTCATCCAGTCCAACTGCCATCCTTGCCCCTCACAGCACTTCCTCGCAGTCGCCACCAGGGGGCACTGCAAGCAGGGAGCCAGATCCTCCCTCCTCTGCCCTCCAGGGCTCCCACCTCTCTGAGGCCAAAGCCCAAGTCTTCCCAAAGCCCGCCTGGCCTACCCTATCACCTCCCTGCCTCCCCTCCTCCCGCTCTGCCCCTTGCTCCCTCTGCTCCAGCCACGCAGGTTCCTTGCTGCTCCTGCACCTCGCTGGGCTCCACCATCATACCCCAGGGCTTTTGCACAGGCTGTGCCCTCTGCACTTGCTTAGAACTCCCCAACAGCCCCCTGAGCCCTGGGGAAGCCCTTCCCAGCTTCCTGCCCGGTAGGCCAGGCCTCCCCAAGTTGTCTCTTCCCATCACCCACCACCAGTCTCTGTCACACGCTCTCATTTCCCATTATGGAGGTGGCTGACACTGCCCTCAGCTCCACAAGGTCAGGGGACCAGGTTGGCTTCGGGTAGGTCCTGGGACGGTCCTGGTGCCAACTCGAGAACCATTTACGTGTGCAGCCCTGAGGTCTGTGGACTGTGTGCTCCCCGCATTTGCATACCATGTCCTCAGCATCCAGTTCACAACAGACCCCGTGGTTGCTGACTGAACAAATGAACTATGGAGAGTAGGGAATGCACAGAGCTCCCTGTCCTGTGGATCCCCCTGGGGGGGTCCTCTGTCCGAGACTCTACCCCCAACCTACAGAGCTGCCCGGCAGACAGCAGGTGCTCAGAGCCTTCCTCGTGGAAGACAGGGAGGAGGAGGAGGGAAGGACTCACGGGCAGGGGTGAAGGCTCTGCACGGCCATGACAGCCAGCCCGTTGGCCACCTTGTCTGAGAAGCTCATAGCGCCATACACGAAGGCTCCGCTCTGCTGTGGGACACGGGCCGGGGTCAGCGCCCAGGCCACAGGTCCCGGCCCCCAGCCTCCCTGGGCCCCAGCCCCAGCCCTACCGAGTGGGGACCGATGAGGTCGGCTGTCATGGCCAGCGAGGTGACCAGGATGGTGGTGCAACCCGCGCCCAGCAGCACGGCTGCCGCGTACACTGCCACACCCAGCCTGTTGCTCAGCGCCACCCAGGCGGCGAAGGCCAGAACCACCAGGAGCCCCGCGAAGTAGGTGAACTGCAGAGGGAAGGCCCCAGGCGTCAGCACATGTCACCGGCACCCTGGGCCAGGCACTGGACCTCTCTGGTCCTCAGCCTGCCGCCTCCACCCCAACCCCAGCAAAGAAAGAGCTTCAGTGGGACAGTGCCCAAGGAGCCGCAGGGCCTGCTCAGACACGTGACTTCTTTTTTGTTGTTTTGTTTCTTGAGGCAGGACTGCGCTATGTAGCCCAGGCTGGCCTTAAACTCACAGCAATCCTCCTGCCTCAGCCTCCTCAGTGTTGAGATGACAGGCATGCACTACCACGCCCAGTTAGAAGTGTGGCTCTTCATGCCCACATGTAAGTCCAACCCTGGCATGGGCCCTATCTCAAAAAGACCAAAAAAAAGATCAAATGCAAGTCCATTAAAATGACAGAAACCAAGGATTCTGATCCTTGTTCTAAGTTCTTAGCTCAGAACACCTCGAGAAAGTTCCAGAACACTGGACCTCTCCAGAGCTGAGAACCCAGCTGCTCAGAAGACATGATGTAGAATTCTTTTTGCAACACTGGGCATTAACCCCAGGGCCTTGGCACTGAGCTACATCCCCACCCTTTTTAAAAATTATTTTAGGAGTGTCTCACTAAGTCACTCAGCTGCCCAGGCTGGCCTCAAACTTGAGATCCTCCTGCCTCAGCCTCCCAGGTATGGATAACCACACCAAGTTAGTTAAGATTCTTGACTGCTAGGTCCTGGCTTCTCCCAGGCAATATGTCCCAGGCCTCCCTCAGCCCCCGGCCACTCACATTCCTCCCGATGCACCTGTTGAGAGGCTTCATGAGGAAGGAGGAGAAGAAACCACTGAGGTACATCACCAGTGGGATGGTCGCGATAAACCTCTGTTGGGACACAGGCAGTGGGGGTGGGGCTTAGAGGCAGCGTTGGAGCCCAGGACCTCACCTGTCTCCCTCCCACTGTCCTGTCCACTCACCTTGGGCAGGTGTAAGGAGTACGTGAGGTACATGGCCATGTAGGTCTGGGACAGGTTCACAATGAGCCTTGTGGTCATGTACAGGATGCCCACCTGTGGACAGATGGAGAGAGGGACTTGGCAGATGGGCCATGGCTCCTGCAGTGGGCCTGATCCATTAGTAGACTGCCAGCTGGCCAGGCAGGGAGGAGAGTGGTGATCAGTGATTGATTAGTAAGGTCTGCCCTGACTAGCCATGGGTGATGATTAATATCTACCCTAAGCGGTGATTTGTGATCAATTAGTCACGTCTTCTCTGGGCACAGGTGTGAAAAAGGGCGATGTTTGCTGCCTTCCTGCCATGCTGGAGGCCCCAGCACCCCCGTGCATCCCCTACAACCTACCTGGTAGAAAGCTGGCTCCTGGAGCCAGTGTTTCCAGAGCAGCAGGGGCCGAGCAGCCGGGGACACCAGGGGACTGTGTTCATCTGGTTCCTCCACCCGCCTCGGCCGGCGCCGCTCACGGGTGCCCAAGTGAAACAGCAAAGAGAAGACGGCTCCCACACCCACCACTGCCAGGGACAGGTTCTGAGGACGGAGCAGGGGGTCAGAGGTTGCTCTCCTGGCCCAGGGGACCAGGGCACGGGGTGGCCCTCCCAGCCCCCGCTCACCCGGAACACGGGCACGTCCTGGTCACCCAGCTGGCCAGCCATGGTGATGTCCTCGGTGGGCCCCGCGTGCGCGGAGGCCTGCAGGTGCAGCAGCAGCCAAGCGGCCCCGTAGACCGCGATGTTGGCCACCACGGTGAAGGCGTACCTGGGGGTGCAGGGCCTCAGCACGGCAGCTCTTTCCCCCCACCAAAGAGCCGCTGCTGGGGAAGCCCTGGTTTTGGGCGCCTTTGGCCACGGACACCCTGGGCGGCCCCAGGGAAACTGCTGCCTCAGCTCCCCCTGAGGCCCCATACAGACCCCGAGACTGAGAAGCCAGAATACTAGAGCCAGGATTCTGCCATTCTGTCCCTGAGCTCTGAGCTCCGGCACGGCAGGGGCTCCACGGGTCAGAACCACCCTGGAACGGGTTGGAAAGGAGGCTCTGACCTGAGACAAGACTCAAGTTTCCCTTTCTGCAGTGCTGAGGACAGAACCCAGGGCCTCACAACCGAGTGACATCAGCAGCCCTTTTCATTTTTATATTGAGACAAGGTCTCACGATAGCAAAGTTGCCCAGGCTGGGCTTGAACTTGGGATCCCCCTGCCTCAGCCTCCCAGAATACTGGGATGACAGGGGTTTACCATCATGGCTGGCCTCAGTTTCCCTTTCTGAAAATGAAAACCAGACCACCCCAGAGTCCGTGTGAAGGTGGCGTTCACTAGGCAAAGCACAACGTGTACAAGCCTCAGTGTTTGGCCTCAGTCCAGCCCAGGACCCTCAGCTTGAGGCTCTCGGATGCTGGGCACTGAGCAGTGCTGGCCCAGGGCCTGAACTTCTTGGGGCCACAATGGAGAACTCGGGGCTGGGGATATAGCTCAGCGGCACAAGTGCCTGCCTGGCAAGCACAAGGTCCTGAGTTTGATTCCGGGTACCAGAAAAAAAAAAAAAAAGAAAGAAAACAAAAAAAATGGAGAACTCAAAGGCAAGGCTGGGCAAAGCTTGCGACAGGCTGATTTGGAGGTGGAGGCCCTTCATGAAGATGCAATCAGAACCCTGGCTTTGGGGCCTGGGTGTGCAGTTCAGTAGTAAGTGTTTGCCTAGCATGTGCGAGGACCTGGGTTCCAGCCCCAGCTCTATGAAAGTGAATGAATAAAGCAGCTTGTCCAACGTGGGCCTGGCCTAATTAGGTGATCCTTCAAAAGAGAGTCCACAGCCTCCTTGAAGAAGGAGAAAGAGATGCCCCCTCTTGGCTCTCAAGAAACAGCAAATTGAGAGTTCCACAGCTGCCAGAAAACAAATTCTCTCACCAAGGACGTGAGCACAGAATAGGGGCCCCGAGCCTTCCATAAGACCCCAGCCTCAGCTAGCACCTCAATTACACACCTCCACACAGGAGCCCCTGGCTGAGCCCTGCTTGATTCCTGACCCATGGGAACAGTGGAATGAGACCCAGTGTGGCCCCCCAGAAGGCTGTGAGCCCCAGCATCCCCCAGCCGGGCACAGCCTGGCTTCTGGCCCCACTGCCCTACCCAGGTACCTGAGAGCTGTGAGCTCCACCTTCTCATGGTCGCTGGTGACCAGCTCTGGGATGAGGCTCAGATGCGCAATCTGGGTGGCGGCCCAGCCGAACTGGAAGACGACGATGAAGGGCCCGTAGTACAGCAGTGCGGCCCACTCGGGGGTGGATGCCCCGCAGCCCAGGCACGGGCTGAAGATGAAGGGGAAGGACAGCAGAACGCAGATGGTGCCTGCAGGTGAGCAGAGGGGATGTCACTCCACAGGGCCGACACACTGGCCCGGGGCATCCCCGGTGGTTCAGGTAGGGATAAAACCAAGGCACAGAGCGGGCCGGGGACCCACACGCTCAGCGTCACACAGCAGGCTGGGGATCTGCAGCCGGGGCTCCCAGGCTAACTTGTGACCAAGAGGGAAGCCAAGGCAGGGAGATCTGAGATCACAGTCAAAAAGGACAAAGCCCTCCACACCGAGGTCGAGCAGGGGAACCGAGGCACAGAACAGGCTAGAGGAGTCCTGAGGTCGCAGCCTGTCCCTGCAGGGTCCCCTAGAGAGCCACCCACATCAGCACAGCTTCCCCTTGGCCCAGACGAGGAGGCCTTGTCCTTCCCAGCTCCAACACCCACGGGGAAGCGTGAAGCAGCCAGGCGGCCAACGGGCTTTTTCGGGCGGACTGACTGCCCCCTGAGCGGGGGTGGTGGGGGGGGACACGAGGCCCCTGGGGACAGACTCCAGAGACCAGTCCGCCAGACACCTCCACCCACGTGCTCAGGAAGAAAACGTGGAACAAAAGCAAACGTGAACTAGGGCCTGTTCCTCCTCTGCCCTCAGCCCTCCCCGGCTCCACCTCCCCAGGGCAAAGCCCAGGTCTCCTGCAGCCCAAACGGCCCTGCACCGCTGCCCATCCCCTCCCTGCCTCCCCACCAGCAGGCCCCTCTGGCCCTGGGCTCTCAACCCTGGGCCCTGCTGTCTCCTTTGAAGTCCTTAGCGCACCCTGAACTCCTTTGTCTATAGAGCGCTTGTGTCCTGCTTCCCCACCAGACAGCAGGCTCCCTGGGTGGGCAAAGGGCTCTCAGGGTCCTGTCTGCACCCAGGCACCTAGCAGCCAAACCAGAGCCTCCATCTACAGCCCAAAGTGTGCTACTGCCCCATTTTCCAGATGAGGAAACTGAGGCACACTAAGAGGCAGAATGCTGAGAATCCGGCCTGCTGGGTGGACCTTGAGCCAGGATCCCCTATCCAGCATCCAGCACTCACCTCTCACCCTGGTCTAGAGCTTACCAGGAGCTTCAGCAGCTGGACTTCCTCCCCTCCCCCCGGAGATGACCTCATACTGCCCCACCCTGCCCCTTGAAGCCTAGATGGAGAAGTGAAACCAAACCACCCCTGCTCTTTAGGTTCTCTAGAACTGGCCCTGGTTCTCTAGAACTGGCCCGGGCCACCCCAGGACACATTCCTGAGGGCCTGGAGACCGCTCAGGCGGCAGCATGCGAACTGTGAACTCTAGTCAGGAAAATGTGCCTCTCCAGCCACATTCTACCCTGCTGCTGACGCCCAGCCCTGTTAACCATTGTCCAGGTCAGGCTGGCTGGGTGGGGGATCTGGGGCAAGTGGCTTTGCCTCTGTGAGCATCAGTTTCTGTTTACACTGCCTGGAATGCTGCACCCCTACCCCCAACTCCTACTCACCCTTGAAAACCCCAAAGCTAATAACGTGCACTCTTCCTTTTACAGCTCCTCCTTGCCATCTGGCCCAGTCCACAGGGTATCTGCGTGGCTCAGAGGACCCTCAAGGGTTAGCAGGGGGTTCTGGGGGGCTCACTAGGGACAGAAAGAGTCTATCTCCACCACCCAGACTGAAGGGTAAAATAGAGAAGTGGGCATCAGCCCAGGGTGACTTCCCTCGTCACTAACTCAGGCATCGTGACAGGCTGCCTGGCTCCCTCTTGCAGAGGGTCTCCCCGTGTGCCCATGTGAGGCATGGGGGGTACACCAGGTCAAGGCCCCACTCCAGCCCCAAACATAAATGCAGCTCTTCTGCTGGCTCCCTTTGGGGCCAGTCCACCTATGCAGGGCCCTGGCCACCTCCACGGGCTACCCAAGCCTCAGGCTGCTCCCCTCCAAAGGACCAAGCGGGCAGATCCTACTTCAGGGCCTTTGCACATGCAGCACCCTCTGCCAGAGAGCCCCAGAGCCACCTGGCACAGAGGACACCCCTGCCTCTCTCTGCTCCTGGGGAAATTTGATGGCAAAGAAGACAGTTGGCAGGCAGGGCAGACAGAGTTGTATGTGGGAGTCTACAGCTCCACCTGGGACCCTGACCTTCTCCAAACTGAAGGGACAGCACTGCCGTCCACTTTTCAGTTCCCCTCACTATCCGTGAGCCACCAGTGATCCGCTGCATCTTGCAAAAATCATCGCTGTGGAGCAAGGCCCTGGGTCGAAACACTGCCCGCAGGACAAAGAAGAACCCACTGTCCCCTCGGGGCTGGAATCCCGAGGAGTGGGCAGGGCTCCTGGCCCTGCTCCTGAAATGCCCTGAGAGCCCCACGTGCCAGGACGCAGTGGCAGCTGCAGCACGTCTGCCGCGAGCGGCAGGCTAACCTCGAGGCCCTGCAGCCACCTGATCGGGGCTCCTGGGCCGAGGCCACCCAGCCCATCCCTGTGGCTCCACTGCCTTAACCCGAGCCACAGGCCCCACCGTGGTGGGACACACCGGGAAACGGCACACACCCGCCAGGTCCATGCAGCCCAAACCCCACCTCCGGGCGGCACCCCCAGCCCTCCGAAGCACAGGAGCCCCAGGAGGGGCAGGAAGGGGCAGGGAGCCCCGGGCACAGACAGAGCGGCACTGGGCAGCCCGAGCTGTCCTGACAGTCACTCTGACGGGGGCAGGGCAGAAGGAACCCGACAGGCAGAAGTGATGCTGGGCCATCAGACTCGACCCAGACAGGGTCAGGGTCAGGACGCCCGGGATCCCACGGACAGACAGGTGGGGGGCCCAGCAGGCCACTCATGGCCTCGAGCCGCGGGCGGCGCGCAGGGGCACAGGGTGGTCACGCAGACAGACTCGCAGGTTGGGCAGCTACGCGGGCACGGGGCAGCTGGACAGACGGAGGAGGCTGAGACCAGAGAACAGCCGGAGGCTGGGGTCAGATTATAAGGCAGGCAAGCAGACAGACAGACAGACGACAGACAGACAGACGGAGGCTCAGATCACGAGACAAAATTACAGAGGGAGAGCTCAGGTCGCAGCTGGGCACACAGAGGGGCTGGGGCGGTGGGGCAGGCGGCGCAGGCGGCGCGGGGTCCTCACCCGCCAGGTGCCAGGCCTTGCGGGGCCCGTAGCGCGCGCAGCGCCCCCCCGCGGCGCGGTCGGCCTCGTAGCCCACGAGCGGCGTGCACAGCCCGTCCGCGACCTGGCCCAGCAGCAGCAGCAGCCCGGCGCCGCGCGAGCTGTAGGCGCGCACCGAGTGCAGGTAGAGCAGCAGGTAGGTGAACCACATGGACGCGCACAGGTCGTTGAGGAAGTGGCCCACGGCGTAGCTCAGCCGCGCCGCCGGCGACAGCGGCCGCGGGGCCGCCCCCGCCCCGGCCACCGGGGGTCCCGGGCCCATGGCGCGGGTGGTGGCCGTGGCGGTGGCGGTGGCGGCGTCCACCCGGCGCAGAGGGACCCGGCCGGGCAGCCGGGGACCCGCGCCGCGCTCCGCTTACTCCTCGCGCCGCTGTCCTCCCCGCGCCACCCGCGACCTCCTATGAGGCGGTGGAGCCCGCGGGCCGGGTCATTGCGGCCCGGGCGGGGCGGGGCGGCGGCAGGGAATCCCGGAGAGCGGCAGTCACCTCCGCCAATAGTAACTGCGCACAGGGACACGGCAGCCAATCATAAACAAGAAGGGCGTGGTCTCAGACGTGTCCGAAGCTCCCCCGCTAGGCGCCCGCATGGTCCTAGAGCCGAGGCTCTGCTCCTGGGGTTCGCGGGACCATGGGCCAAGTTGGGTCCGTCAACACTGGCCACAGATCTAGGGGGGCAAATAGAGAAGTGGGCACCCGGCCTCCCACCCAGACTCCCGTCTCCAAGTCTAGCCATCCCGGCTTGGCCATAGCTTGAGGTAGTCTGGTGCGGGTCGGGGAGGATGGGGTGCGTTTGGGGTGCAGAGGGTGGGGACAGAGTTTGAGCCCGCCTCTGGTCTGCCAACTTCCTGGCCCCGGGAGACCCAATGGAACTCAGGAGGACGCATTACCACTAATTAATTAGCTATTACGGATGACAATGGGGCTCCGAGTTGTAACACCAGCTGGGCTTTAACGAGCCAGGCGGTGCCGGGCGCCTCCCGTGGCCGAAGCGCCCTCACCCGGTTTCTGGGCGGTGAGTCAGGGCCCGCGGGTAGGAAGGTGTGCGGGCTGCTTCCCCTCACCGCCTCGCGGGAATGGGTCACCAGACCAACCAGGCCGTAAGGAGGGCCAGCAGCAGGGTGCGGTCCTTTCCCGGCATCAGGCCTCAGCCTGCGGCAAGTTGAAACTGTCAGTCTGGAGCACAAATCCTAAAGTCCAGATCTGGCCTCATCCCCTCCCAGCCATCCCACCTGGGACAAGTCCCTTAACTGCACTAGGGCCTCAGTCTCTCGGACTCTAGAATGGGTACAATGTATGTTTAAAAAGTTACAGAACTGACCAGGCCTGACCAGAACTGACAGGTGGTTCAGGCCTGTAATCTCAAAACTTTGGGAGGCTGAGGCAGGAGGATCTCAAATTTCTAGACCAGCCTGGGCAATTTAGAATTTAGCCAAACCCTATCTCAAAAAGAAAGAAAAATAGCCAAGTATACTGTTGCATGCCTGTAATCCCAGCCCTCAGTAGGCTGAGGCAGGAGGATCACCGAGAGTTCGAGGCCAGCCTGGGCTACCCAGTGAGTTCAAGGCCAACCTGAGCTGGGCGTGGTGGCGCATGCCTGTAATCCCAGCACTCAGGAGGCTGAGGCAGGAGGATTGTTGTGAGTTCAAGACCAGCCTGGACTGTGGACTAGACCAGTGCAAATGCAGGAGGTTGATGGAACAGTGCATGAAATTTATTCAGATTTCACTGGTTTTATGTATGCGTGACTATGGAAATTTTTTTGAACCAGGAATTGAACTCAGGGCGGGTGTGGTGGTGCACGCCTGTAATCCCAGCACTCGGGAGGCTGAGGCAGCAGGATCATTTCGAGTTCGAGACCAGCCTGGGCTACAAAGTGAGCTCAAGGCCAGCCTGACTGCATAAGGAGACCCTGTCTCAAAAAAAGACAAAACAAACAAACAAACAAAAAAAAAACCAAGGCCAACCTGAACTGCATAGTGAAACCCTATCTAAAAAGAACCCAAAAATACATAATAATAATAGTAATAAAGTAAAAAATGGAGAAAGGGAGGGCTAGAAATGGGGTTCTGTGTGAAGGCCCTGGATTCAAACCCCAGCACTGGGGGGAAAAAAATCTGCTTTAGATGCTTGAATAGTAGAAATATAGACAGAAGCTAGATGTGGTGACACACGACTGTAACTCCCAGCACTCTGGGAGGCTGAAGCAGGAGGATCCAGAGTGTGAGCCCAGCCTGGGTAACCTAGCAGCTTAGGAAGATCTTGTCTCAAAATAAAAAATAAAGAAGAGCTTGGGATGGAGCTCAGTGCTGAAGCCCACGGCACACACAGAAAAAAAAAATTAGAGTTCAGAAATGCAGACAGAAATTAGGTAAGTGAACAACAGGTCCCGCTTCTCAACCAAGGCTGAGGGCAGCCAAAGGATGCAGAGCCCAGGACCCCCATACTCAAACAGAGACTGCACATGCTTCTATGAAATGAGCTTTAAAAAACGTGGAAGGGCCGGGTGTGGTGGTGCACACCTGTAATCCCAGCACTTGGGAGGCTGAGGCAGAAGGATCTCCAGGAGTTCAAGGTCAGCTTGGGCTACATAGCAAGACCTTGTCTTAAAAAAAAAAAAAAGAAAGAAAGAAAAGAAAGAGGATGCAACTCTCAAGAGCAGTAACCTCACTGGGAGAGAGGGGAGATAAGAACTGACCTCGGTGGAGGAGATACGACATAAGGACAGATAAGCGCCTCGACTCTTTCCTGCCTGCCAGACAGCCGGGTCTCTGGATCTTGAGAAATAACGCTTGTCTTTTTCTGGTAGAAGTAGCTGCCAAAGAAAGAGAGAGGGAGGGAGGGAAGGAGGGAGGGAGGAAGCTGCCCCAAGCTCCCTCCTCACTGGACCCGCTTCACCACTCGGTGGTCGTTTCACAGCAGGAGAACGGAGGGTCAGCCGGACCCCCGCGGTGCACAAGAGGCTGGCCGAGGATTTGAACTCTGCTCTGGGCCCTGTGTTTGAGATCTGTTTCCTGGGCGTGAAGCCTACCCCACTGGACTGAGAGGACAGGTGCCTGGCTATCCTCTCCTTTATCAGTCAGCAGCCCGGGGACACTGCAGAGGCCTCCTGGGGTCAAGTGCAGCAGAGGTGGGGGTGTCTAGAGCGAGTGTTACCCCCCGGGCCTTTCTGGTGGGGAACCAGGAACAAGCCCAGCCTGGCCCCGGGTCAAGGGCAAAGCAGAACCTTCCACTGCCTTCTTTCAGCCTCTGGAGCTGGAGGGTTGAATCAGCACGGTGGTGCGGGCTGTCATCCCAGCACTCTGGGAGGCTGAGACAGGAGGATGGCGGGTTTGAACCGAGCCTGGGCAATGCAGTGACTCAGTGAGACCTTTCTTAAAGTAAGAAATAAAAGGAGCTGAGGACGCAGCTCAGCGAGAAGGCTCTGGGCTCCACCTAGGTGGAATGGAATTGAGATCTCACCCTTAGTTCACGAGGAGGTTTAGAGCACAACCTCCACCTCCTCCTTCCTTCTGGACCTGGGTCCTAGAGGGGCCGGTAAGCGCTGGCCTTTGACACCCCTACCCCACTCTGAGGCTGCTCAGAGGCCACTAGGCCATAGGATCTTGGGCCAGGGCGGGGGGGGGGGGCAGAGCGTTGGATAAAAAGCCCCAGGGTCGGGGAGAACAGCGTATGGAAATACCTGGAGGCTAGCAGAGACTCGTGCCCTGAGAAAGGAGGGGCAGGCTGGGTCGGGGTGAAGATCAGAGAAAGCCCCTCGGAAGAGGGAGGGAGTCAGGAAGGGGAGATGAATATGCAGCCCTCAGGGAAGGACGGGCTGCTGCGGCTTGGGGTCCAGATAGACCCTGACAACCTTTGATGTCCCCAGAGCGTCCCAGCCACACCAGACGCCAGGAGCGCGTCCCCCCTCCCCCAGCCGGGATCGGATGTCCTGGTGGCCCCAGTCCAGCCTGGGGAGTGGGGGAGCTTGCTTTGATGCTTTTTGGCCCAGGCCCAGTGATGGAAGGGAGGGGGGTTCTAAGACTCAGAAACTTCCTCAGATCTGACAGTAGCTGGAGGGTGGCCCTGGGCAAGGTCAAGCCAGCGGGAGACCTTACTGGGAGAGGTGGCCCACACCTGTGATCCCAGCACTTGGGAGGCTGAGGCAGGAGGATGGCAAGTTAAGCCCTAAGAACGAGGTGTTGCTGCCTGCCTGTCATAGGAACATGTTTCTGGAAGAAAGGTAATTCAGGGAGTAGGGCAAAGGGCGGGTGAATGCTTGCAGAGTGAAGTCAGTGGGATAATAAAAAGCAAAACAAGATTGCACGTGTTTTATGGGACCACACAAATATCACATATGTAGACACACGTGCTTTTGTGTATGTATCTGTTACAGGTGGAACTGTCTCCCTGCCTCCCTCCCTCCAAAAAATTCACAGGCGCTGGTCCCAGCACTCAGGGCCTCAGACAGTGACCTTATTTGGAAACAGGGTCTCTGCAGATGGAGTCAGCCAGGATGAGGTCATCAGGGTGGGGCGGGTGCGCTGTGACCCTCGCTCGTGCTTATGAAAAGGGGAAATTTGGGCAGATGTCATCTGAAGATGGAGACAGAGCCGAGGTGACGCTTCTAAAGTCAGGAATCCCAAGGGCAGTGGCCGCCCCCAGAAGGACCGGCCTTGCCCACGCCTTGATCTCTGACTTCCAGCCTCCAGAGCTCAAGAAGAAAAGTCTGTTGTTCTTAGTGGCCCAGTTTGTGGGAGTTCCTCCTGGCAGCACCCCCAAAAGCCAATACTCTGATGTTTACATGCTCAGGAAAAGTTCTGTTTTGTTTTCTTTTTGTGGTGCTGGGGGTAGAACTGGGTCCACCCGCGCGCTAGGCAAGCGCTTGCCTCAGACCCTCATTCTAGCCCAAGAAAACTGTTTCTGTTTTTTGTTTTGGGGTGTTTTTTTTGGAGACAAGGTCTTAAAACTACATAGCTTATAACATCAGCTATGTAGCTGAAGCTGGTCTCAAACTTGCGGCGATCCTCCTACCTCAGCGTCCCAAGTACAGGGTTTACAGGCTTGTGCTACCATACTGGGCTGGAAAATTTTTCCTGCCTTTATCAAAAACAAGCTGATAATATTATGATGGAGGAATGGTGGTCTTAGCTAGACCTATTTAATTTTGTCCAAGTGAAATGGATTTGTGAATTATTTGCATAACAGAAATTAATGTTCTTTTTTTTTAAAAAAAAAACAAGGAAATGTAAGGCAAACTTCATTTAATGATTTTGTTTGTTTTTTGTCTTTTTTTTTTTTTTTTTTTGGTCTTTTTGAGACAGGGTCTCCATATACAACTCAGGCTGGCCTTGAGCTCACTTTGTAGCCTAGGCTGCTCTCGAACTTGCAGTGATCCTCCTGCCTCAGCCTCCCGAGTGCTGGGATTACAGGCGTGCGCCACCACACCTGGCCTTGTTTTTTGTCTTTTTTGAGACAGGGTCTGGCTGTGCAGTTTAAGCTGGCTGTGAGCTCATTTTGTAGCCCAGGCTGATCTTGAACTCGCAGCGATTCTCCTGCCTCTGCCTCCCGAGTGCTGGGATTACAGGCGTGCGCCACCATGCCCAGCCTGTTTTTTGTTTTGGTACTGGGAATCAAACTAATGACCTTGTGCTTGCCAGACAGGCGTTGTGCCCCTGAGCTAAATACCCAGCCCTCCCTTATTATTTTTAAATGGTCATTGTTCCCTCAGGAGCCTTGATTATATAAGAAACCAATTTGGGAAGAAAAAAAAAAAGCCCGGCGTGGTGATGACAACTGTCATCTCAGCACTCAGGAGGCTGAGGCAGGAAGATTCCAGTGAGTTTGAGGGCAGCCTAGGCTACATAGCAAGACCCTGTCTCAAAATTAAGAAAGAGTAGAAAGAAAAGAAATGCATGAATATCTACTCTAAATCTGGTCTCAGCCTAAGGCGGAAAAGAACATCTCACTCTCTGAGACCTTTGAGCATTTGGCTGTGGCAACCAGGTACACCTTGCACACTGTTCTGGAAAAGAACAGCCTAGTGTCACAAGGAGGGTGCAGAATGTGTGATCTGAAAATGGCACTGCACTCCATGGGTCACTTAGGGTCTGAGATTGAACAGGTGATTGTAAGTGCGGGTCCTTGCGTCCCTAGAACTGGCAAAGTGTGCTATTTTGAACCTCCCATTTCCTCAGGCTCACTAATATCCCTGCCTGACAACACCAAGAAACTCCAAACTGCTTTCCAAACCCACACTGAAGCCAGGCAGTGGTGTTTCAGGCCTGTTGTCCTACCTACTTGGGAGGCTGAGGCAGTAGGATCACAAGTTTAAGCCTAGTCCTGGCAATTTAGTGACTGAGACCCTGTCTCAAAATAAAAAATAAAGAAGGGCTGGGATGTGATGAAGGCCCTGCAGTCAACCCCAATACCACACAAAAAAAAAAAACAAAAAAAAAAAACAAAACAGAACAGCAGTAAACCCAATTTGGAGTGCAGAGCAGAGCTCAGTGCTAAGGTGCATGTTTATTACGAGATGGCCCATGCTCCATCCCTAGCACCAAAACCTGACAAACAGGTTCATTTCAAACTCATTTGTTTGTTTGTTTGTTTGTCTATCAGTGGTCTTTGTACTTTTTTTTGTTTTTAAGACAGGGGCTCACTATGCAGCCCAGGCTGGCCTGGAATTTGTGGCCATCTTCCTGCCTCAGCCTCCCAAGTGCTAAGATTACAGGCATCCCATGCCTGGCTGAAACTCACTTTTCTTTTTGAGACAGGATCTCGCTATGGAGTTCAGGCTGGACTTGAGCTCACTTTGTAGCCCAGGCTGGTCTCCAGCTCGCAATGATCCTCCTGAGTGCTGGGATTACAGGCGTGTGCCACCACACCCGGCCACATTTTATTTTTGAGATAGTCTTACTATGTAGTTCAGGCTGGTCTTCAACTCACTATGTAGCCCAGGCTGGGCTTGAACTTGAGATCCTCTTGCTTCAGCCTCTGGGTACTGGGATGCCACTACACCCGGCCTAAAACTCACTTCCTTTTTCTTCTTTTTTTTGGAACCGGGAATCGAACTCGGGACCTTGCACTTGCCAGGCAGGCGCTTATGCCACTGAGCTATATCCCAGGCCCTAAAACTCACTTCTTTAGATGTGTGGGGAAGCCGGTGAACGTTCTGTGGTCTCCCAGCTTCACAGGATGGGGTAGTTTCTATGGCAACACCAGCTTTGTTAATCAAGTCAAAGAGGCGGGCCTGCAAGACAGGGCTTTCCCAGTCTCCTAGTCTCCCCCTGAACTTCTCTTCTAGCTTGTTTTCAGTTGCTCAGAGATAGAAAGCAGGTGTGGGCGATCATAGAGCCAATTAAGCAACAGCGCAGTCTGGAATCTGGGCCTGTCAAGATTCCAGAATGAGCTCCTGTTTTTCAGCCCTGGACCTGCATTTTTGAAAAACAAGTTTAAACCGGACATGGCCCAGAAGGATTGCTGCGATTTCAAGGTCAGCCTGGAGCACATAGCAAGACCCTATTTTTATTTTTATTTTTGGTACCAGGAATCGAACTCAGGACCTTGTGCTTGCCAGGCAGCCGCTTATGCTGCTAGGCTATATCCCCGGCCCAAGACCCTATTTTTAAAAAACTAAAAAATATATAAAAAGAGAGAGAGAGAAAGGAAGAAAAAGAATTTCCAGACCGTTTTCCAGAGCAGCTTCGCCTGTTTCTTAGAAATGTACAAGATTCCTTCATGTGTGTATTCAGTGACGGCTGACCTAAAGCACACTTCTTAATCCACTTTACGAGGTCAGCATAACCCTGATACCAAAACCTGAAAAAACGCACCAGGAAAGAAAAATTAGGCTGGGCTTGGCGGTACACACCTGCCATCCCAGCACTCAGAAGGCTGAGGCAGGATGATCTCAAATTCAAGCCTAGCCCGGACAACTTAGCTGGACCCTGCCTCAAACCTGCTAGGAGTGGCTGCATGGAGCTCAGTGTTAAAGCGCTGGGTTCAGTCCTATCGTCTTGTCCCAAATGCTTCCAGCCCCAACCTGACCCAGACCTGCGTCTCGGCTTCACAGCCTTCCTGGCTCTCGGGGCTGGACATCATGCTAGGTGAATGTGCCCTCTGCATAAGAGGGAAAGCCGAGGCTCCGTGTCCAGAAGCTCCAAATGGAAACTCCTCCCTGAAACTCTGCGTTGGTAGGATGCTAACAGGTTCACCTTGATCTTCTACAGCGGGCTGACTCTGGACCTTAACTCCATCCCTAGCAACCTAAGGCTGTTCCCACGGCAACTACGACGGGCCCAACCCGGAGCTGCAGGTCCCCAGATCCTGCAGGGGCGGGGAGTATCGCCTTCAACCGGGAGGAGGAGTCCGCCTGGAGCCTACTGGCCCCTTAAGAGGCTCCACCCGGCGAGGCATCTAAGTGCCTGGGATTGGTCCGGAGAGTGGCCGAGCGCAGCCAAACTTGACGCAGCGCCAGCCTTCTTCCCTCCCTACCGCCTACGCGGCTCAGCATCCCCCTCAGCCAATCACCGCTGGGCGCGCCGACCTTTATCTGCATGACCACGCCCCGAAAGGGGGCCTCATCGAATGGCACCGCTCGTGGAGGCGGTCATTAGCATGCTAGGGGCGGGATGGGGCGGGGCAGCCGGCAGGGGCGGGCTCAGAGCGGTTGGTTGGCGAGTCGCCGCAGTGGAAAGGTCCGGGAAAGTTTCTTTGGAGGTGAAAACAGCCGGGGAACTCGGGGCCCCGCGAGGGGAGCAGGGGTATGGGGGTCCCAGAGCCAGGGCGGAGGGGGAAGGAAGCCTGTCCCGGCATCCCGTGGGGTGATTGCCCAACAAAGGATTCTTGGGGCACCCGCCTTCGAGGGCTTCCCCGCCCCAGGATCCGGCCCCCTGTGAGCCACGGGCCCGGAGTTCTGGGCTCCTGGTCGGGTTGGGGACGGCACCCCACCATCGGGGGTTCGGGGCGCCCTCCTCTCAGCCCTCTTCTGTGTTTCAGGTCCGGCCCGGTGCGGCTATGTCCCACGGCCCCAAGCAGCCTGGCGCGGCCTCCGTGTGAGTGCGCCGCCCCCTCGCCCCAGCCCGCACCCCAGGATCTTGGCCCCAGCAATCTGGGTCAGGGGACCCCACTGTGCATCTCTTGAACTCCTGCTCCAGCCCACACCACAGGCCCCCCAACCTCGGTCAGGGGTCCCCACGGTGCTTCTGCGGGACCCCACTTCCCAGAATCTAGGCTCCCCAGCCGGGGCCAGAGGGTCCTCGCGGCCCTCTCCTGGACCCCAGCCCGCCGTCAGCGTCCTGATTCCCCCCAGCCTGGGTCAGGGGGTCCTCGTTGGTGTTTCTGGGCCCCCATCCCTGCCCGCACCCCAGAGCCTTGGCCCCAGTCTGGGTTGGGGGTCTGCAGTCTTCTGGACTCCAGCCCCAGCCCGCACCCCAAGGTCTTGACCTCCCCAACCTCGATCGGGTCCCCGCTGGTGCTTCTCCCGCGAGCCCATCCCACGCTCCCCAGTCCTGGCCTCCAGCCCCTGCTGGGACCCCTGACTTTCGACCCTGATGCTGCCATCTGGACCGCCGCATCCCGAACCCTTCAGACCTCCCTGTCCCTGGACTCGGGCTCCCCCATGTCAGCTCGGCCCATGGTCGCTAAACAGTAAGGGTGGGCGCAGGGGCAGGGATGGCTGCAGGGCTGGGAGTGACCCTGGTGTACCATGGCCCCAGGCCGGCGGGCGGCAAGGCTCCGGGCCCGCACGGGGGCTTCGTGGTGGCCGTCAAGCAGGAGCGCGGCGAGGCCCCTCGGGCCGGCGACAAGGGCTCCCACGAGGAAGAGGTGAGTTTCGGTCCCCTGCCTTGAAGGCCCGCCCCAGATTATATTTGAATTTCTTGTGGCCCCATCACAGCAGCTCATTGCTGGGTCCAAGCAGAGATTCCACCCACCCTGCGAGATGCCACGCCCCTAATAGGCCCCATCCCGTCCCGATCATGGGCCACGCCCACTATCAGTAGTGGCTCCTCCCACTGCGCAAAGCTCCCTTCCAGTTGCGCAGCACCTCCCCCCTCCCCCAAGAAGCCACACCCACATACCAGAGGCCACGCCCACACCCTCAATCTGCTCTTCCTTGGGCTCCGCCAGCTTCTAGTATCTGGGACCCCTCATCCAGCCAGGGACCCCTTATGTAATTTCGCCGTGTCTGACCCCCTGATCAGATCACACTCCAGCCCTTCCTCTCAGGTAGGGCCCGCCCACCCTGTAGCCCCACCTATGCACCCAAGACCCCCAGCCCTCCAGGCCTCGCCCAATGAGGCAGCCTGATTCTGCAGCCGGTGAAGAAACGAGGCTGGCCGAAGGGCAAAAAGCGGAAGAAGATTCTGCCCAACGGGCCCAAAGCACCGGTCACGGGCTACGTGCGCTTCCTGAACGAGAGGCGTGAGCAAATCCGCACGCGCCACCCGGACCTACCCTTCCCAGAGATCACGAAGATGCTGGGCGCCGAGTGGAGCAAGCTTCAGCCCGCGGAGAAGCAGGTGGGGACGGCAGGGTCTCAGCCCTGACCGAAAGCTTCCACAGCCACAGCCCCCCTACGTCGGGAGCGGACGGTTCATCTTGTCTGGAAAATGACCACCCATGAGCCGCACGCTGACTGGCAATAATTAGCAGTGGGCGAGAAGAGAACTAAAACTTCATGACCAACAAGGACAGGTCTAAGTTAGTCATGGTGGCTCATACCTGGCATCCCAGCTTTCTGGGAGGCTGAGGCAAGAGGATTCCAAGTTTCAGCCCAGCCTGGGTGATTTAGTGACTTAGCAACATCCTGTCAAAAAAAAAAAAAAAAACCTGCAGTATGAGGGTACAGGCCCCGGGCCTCAG